GGGCAAGTTATATAAAATGCTGTGTGCTGCCCAGACTACATGGCTCCCTAGAGGCCGTACCGACAAGATCCAAATGAATACAGGGCATTATAATGATTTTCCAAGCATAGCTTAGATGTGGCACAAGGCCGAAAGTAGGGGGCACCCAGTGAGAATCGAACTCACTACTAATTGTTCTAGCGAGACAAGCTTGCTAACAATTACACCACCTCGAGGTGTCTTAGTGATTTTCTAAGCCCGGCTTAGATGTGGCACAAGGCCGAAAGTAGGTGGCACCCAGTGAGGATCGAACTCACTACTCAGTCATAATTGATCTAGCAAGACAAGCTTTCTAACCATTACACCATGCCGAGGTGCCCAATACAGGGTATTATATATGAGATCGTCTTGACTCTAGGAGTGTCTGGAAAGTTGTCAGTTTTGACAACCAACCGCATTCGGGGCTCCACTCCTGGTTTCCTGTCTGGATTTTCTTCGATAACCTTTTCAGTGTTTTGGATATGTCAGTATGACAGCAATGGTTTAAAATCTGGGTTTTCCTTCCAATAAAAGGACTGCCTTCCTGGGATGCCGAGCTCCATCTAGCCGAAGCACCTGGTTATGAAGCGCCAGTATTCCGCTTTCAGCTTTCAACGACTTCAAGCTGGACTTAGTTGACAAAGGCTATTAGAGACGCTTGGCACGGAAGTATTTTATAAACAGTCGGAGCATGTCTGTATTATCACAACCGGCTATGACAATCTTAGTGACATATTTTTGTAGCGTACCTACGGACGATAAAAGGTATGTCCTCATTCACATAAATACAGTAGTAAATACTGTATGTTGGTCTAGAGTTGGAGATTCGTCTCCAGCGGTGATGGTTAAATCGCCGCCTCGGGGGAGAGAGGATCCCCAGATGTGGCCTTTTCGAAGGGCAGAACCTCATCTCTGGAAACAAGTACCCAACCCCGTTTTATACGGGGTCGACGGGGAATTTTTGGGTGAGCCCCACATTAAATTCGTCCTTGTACACCATCTGACCGCGTGGAGCGGTTGGCAGTTATCCTAGAGTTGGAGATTCATTGTAGAATTCACTTGATTCACTTCTAGAAGTTAATTATTTCTTCTCCGCTGGCGATTCTTATATGTGTTGTTCTTGTCCTAATTATTATCGTTCAATACCAACTTTGTGTTATTATTACATTCAGTAACCTTCCCTAGGTTACAGCACTTATATTGTATATATATATATATATATATATATATATATATATATATATATATATATATATATATATATATAATGAAGTGTTTTGTAGCTTAAAAAACTTAACTTTTTTTAATATATAAAAAGTTGGGTATACAAATAACGAAATATTACATACATAAACAAACACAAATATCGAAAAGTTTACTAATTTTAGAAAAAGATAGATAGAAAACATTAAAATGTAAGTCAGGATTTAAGCCTTATATACTTAGAGATTATGAAGTCATTATTTAACGAACAATAAAATCGTTTGTACTTTCTTCTTTCAGTACGAACAACTAAACATTCAATGGATACAAATTAAAAGAGAGTAGATAATGCAATTTTGGTACATATAAGTTTAAACAAGCAAAACCAGAAAGTAAAAATAAGACAAAAGATATTCAGGTCAGTTGTACAAAGAAAAACCCAGTAACTGTGACAAAAGTTCAAAGAAATAATAATAAACAATATATATATATATATATATATATATATATATATATATATATATATATATATATATATATATATGTGTGTGTGTGTGTGTGTGTGTGTGTGTGTAAAAAAAGTGAACAATTAAGTCAACACTTAGAGGCAACAGGATGTTTCATGCTAGATGCAATCTAGCATAAAACAACCTGTCACCTCTAAGTGTTGACTTCAACGTTCACTTTTATTTACACACGCTCTATCTCTGATACTGAGCACTTTATCCCATAAATATAGCACACCTTAAGAGTATATTTCTTCATATATATATATATATATATATATATATATATATATATGATTAGTGAAATAAAAAAATGCAATTTATGTTAAATAATTGTACTACATCTCTATCTATAAAAGGCAGGATGTGTGTGTGTGTGTGTGTAACGAATTCACGGCTGCAATTTTTCACGGATTTGCACCAAAATTTACATGCCCATGCTCCAAGTTAGCGGGAAGGTCAAGACTGACCTTGCATTTCCCAACTCCCATCGATAGTGGAAATAATCGATGTTTTCATGCTTCTACGGCAGTTTTCATCTAGGTTGCGGCCATTTTCTACTGTCCAGAGTGAGACCCAATATCTGGCTGCCACGAATAGGCAGGAAGATTCTATTGGCCAGCGTGAGAGCCAACAGCTGACTGGCATAAATGTTAACTATCATGCTAGCATGCAAAAAAAAAAATTAAATCCATAGTTGCATTCGTCACAAGTGGGAAAAATTTAAATCCGCATGGCAGTTGATTTCAATTGGCTCATTCGCTTGCTTAAACTCAACGTTGATTCTGATTCCGCAGAACTGAGTTGGGTGTGAAAAAGTATTTGTTGTTAACATTCTTTTTTCATTTGTTTTTTCCAGTTACGAGTCCTTTTTTTAAAGCTGATCGTTTTGTGTTCATTTTGTTTAGTTCATTTTTCGTAACAGATTTAGCATGTTTAGCATAGAGCTTAGCAAAAATTCACACGGCATAGGGCACCCCTTTAAATGCAAGAAAGGGTAAAAATATTTTAAGTCAGGTGATAGCTAGATATGCTGTATGATTTATGAATCAAGCGCGGGCAACGCCGGACCATGCTGCTAGAAGCTAAACCGAAGCAATATGAAGAATATATATACTCCAATATTTTTCCTGTTACGTTTCCTGTACAGTACGTTGCTGTACTGTATAAACATTTAGAAAAGGAATCTAAGAAATGGTGCTGCCTGAAAATATTCTTGCAGTAGTGTTCAGGTTCAACATTTTAACTTAGCGACTGGTTAATTTATTTTATATTCGGAACAATTGAGTAACTGTAATTTAAACTGGGACAAGTCTATATTAAGGATAAATGAATATTATGCAGTTATGTTATTTCTTCTTGGATTCACCATTTACAAAATATATCTTTAGTTTTATTCTTACTGTCAATAAGAAATCACTTTTTTAAAAAAAAAGAAGCGAATTTCAATTTTGTTAGGAAGTTGTTGACACTGAGACTAGGAAAGTTGATGAATTTCCGTGTTTCAGGCAAGATCACTAATACGTTCGCATTTCATCGGCGAACAATACAGCTCGGTCTGAATGGTAGGATTTTAGTGTTGGGCGTTGACTGTCAGTTGATATTTTCTGCCGTCGAAATATATAAGTCACGTTGTCTCGTCCGTCCCTCAGATCAGATTAAGAACCATCAATTCCCAATGTTTTGTCGACAAGCACCCACGTGTGGCCAATATCTGACCAAAAAGATCGAATCTGAATCTAGAAACATTCCGGACTCATGCTTTCGTTGATTGACACCATGAAAAGTTTGTTTCACACTTTATCTTAAGGCTTTCTAAACTAGCACACACATACGCACACACACAAATGCACAAATACACACACACACACACACACACACACACACACACACACACATATATATATATATATATATATATATATTTTGAAGATTCCCCATAGCGTTGATTAGATGTTACACAAGGTGGAAATTATGAGCGCCAGAGAAGATTCCTTCGGCCTTGTGCCAAGTCTAAGCTACGTTTGTAATATTCATATATATATATATATATATATATATATATATATATATATATATATATATATATAAGAATCAAATTAATTTCTTCGTAGATTTTTTAGACATTTAAATTACTATCAAACATTAAAATCTATATATTTACATAAATTGCTAAACCTATACCACCCTCTCCTTCCTACGTGAAAACTATTTACAGCCTTTTTTCTCTTTACTTCCACCTTCTTTCTCTTTCTTTTTTTCTTTTTCTTTTTCTCTCTTCTCCCCTCCCTTTTCAATATATCACTTCCGTTAAGTTAACCGATTAAAGAGGTCAAGGTCTGGTACCTCCTCCCCTAATACTAAGTATGATTGAAAGAAATATTAAATAAACCCTCTGTAAACTCGACCATGTCTCCCAAGCCATCCCTCATTACCCCCTGTTAAATTTCAAAAACTTACACTAACCATCAAAAGTATGAATTTTCATTTCGTTTCGTTTCATCTTTTGGAATTGCTATCTGATGATCCAGAATCCTTTAAAAGAGCTCTGGTGAAATAAATTATTATAATGGAACCTTAAAGTGGTCTGTTTTTCTTTAATATATATATATATATATATATATATATATATATATATATATATATGCTTCGAAGTGGGGTAATGATTAGCAGGCTTGTCTCGCTATAGCTATTACGACTGAATAATCAGTTCGATAATCATTAGTTGCTCCATACATTCGACCTTGTGCCACATCTAAGCTATGCGTGCAATTGTTTCTATTAAAATAAACATTGAGCAACTGGAGACGGAATAATTGTTAGCACTCTTGTCTCGCTACAACAATTACGACTGACTAGACAGTTCGGTCATCACATCTAAGCTACGCTTGGAAAATCACTATATATATATATATATATATATATATATATATATATATATTATTGTGTAATTTAACGATAAATTGAAAACTAAAATCTGCATAACGTGTTTAGACCTTTAATTGGATTTCATCAAAGTCAAGTAATATTCGCTACACGCAAGCCGTTAGTGGCCCGCCAGTGGTAACATTACCGAGACGAACACGGCGGTGTTCCAACAGCGAGCCACCAGCGGTAGACGCTAGAGGCATACCACCCAATGGCAGATTGGTGGCTTGCGTGTAGGGTTGTTATTGATGGAATTATATATATATATATATATATATATGTACTAAAAATTTACAGTCATGTACCTTGAGGAAACAAAATAATTTTGAACATTTCTGGCATTTGATGCGTCCTTCACGCAACAAATCAACCGGTTCATTTAGTATCAAGACATTGACTGATTTCGGACGTCATCTTTTTCTCTTCCCATCGTATGGGGAATTCTATGACAAACCCAGCAGCTGTTGCAGCAAATTCGACTTTTCCCTGTTGATCATATTCCTTTAACCGATATCATTTTATCATTGAGGAGAAATTCTTTATTCCGGGATTTTTTATTTGCCTGTTATTGCATAATTTTCAATATCCAGTCAAATAGTGCCAAATGAATTCAATCAGTTATGTGTCATGCGTGATACACACTTAGGTGATCATGTATCTTTCGATGTATTTCGAAGCAGATTTTTTCTCGCAGTTGGTTACCATTTCTTTCCACGGTAGACCAGTCGCCATCCAAGGCTATAAAACCCGGACTGTCCTGCTATTTATCCATAGCAAGAGGTTTCATACCTTTCGATGCATGAAGAAGATTATTCATACCTTTCGATACATGACTGACGAGGCAGATTTTTTCCCGAAGTATTTTGCAATTTCTTTCCGCGCTAGACTAGTTGCCATCCAGATCTATAGAACCTATAAACCTATAGCTAGGGGTGGGGAGAAGAAGCATTAACGAATATAATGGATTCGTCTGGAATTCGAACTCGGCTCTCCTATTCCTCAATCCGAGCCACTATCCATTACTCCATCATCTTATGAATTACCAGCCATAATTAACATCAACGTTGATAGCATAAGTGCCGGTAAAATTGAAATTAAATTAAATTGAAATTAAACAATAAAATTTAGCTTTAGTAATGATCCTTAAAATTCCCTTGCTATCAAAATGTGTTCGAAACAATTATCTGAACTTTGACTCAGGATGATTTCTGGTAACACCTGTCAGCTAAACGGCTTGTCAAAATTTTTAAACTTCCCATCCACAAGTGCACCTTATTTTCGTACTCAGTTATTATTTTCTGCATATTCGAATTTTTTTTTTTTTATAACAACCCTAAAATTGATATAAAGGAAAACGCATCAGAATATTTTGTTTTTTTTTTATTTACATAGAAAAATATATTTCCTTCCTTTGGTTAAATTTTGAGCTCTGGTAAGCTTTCGACAAAAGAATTCTACACCAGCCATGGAATTATAAAACTTATTTCTGCTACAATGAACAACCCTAAGTTTCATAATAATTTCACACCAGCAAATAAGTTATGCTAAATATTTCTAATAAAGATATATGAACTGTAACTTATACTATTTAATACTCATGCAAATATAAATATATGCAGAAAACAATTCCGTATTTATGTGTGATCAATAATACGTGGCATTTCACCGGTTTAGTTCGGTCATAATGGTAGGATATTTGTGCTAGTCGTTCTTTCTCAGTTTAGACATTCTGCCGTCTAAATATATACGGCACGTTTTGTGGTCCGTCCTTTAGCACGGATTAGCAACTGTCTCTTCGCAATGTCTCGTCGAAATCCACCAACGTTCGGCAAATATCGGACTAAAAAAAGTCAAATCCTAAACTAGAATCATTCCGAACGCATGCACTCGTTGAATGATACAATGAAAAGAGTGTTTCATTCTCCATCTTAGAACATTTTAATTATACATTAAAAAAACTTTGATGGACGGAAGAAAATCTGGCGTTCTCTTTTATTCATTTGATTTTATCTTCTTTAACTTTAACTTGCAGGAAGTTTTAATATCGTCCTAAAGATCTATTTTAATTGAATATTGTTTTCAAATCTATACATCTTAATTTAATTGAATTTGTTTTCCATTCGCATAGGCACAGGTTAATGATTGAGAAATCATCTAGATTGACAAACTGATTCCATTAATATTGTGACTTTAGACTTTTGGGAAGGCGGGCAAAAGTAAGAATATGAATGAACATTGTCTTGATTCAATGTGTTTAGTTTGTGACAAGTAAAATTCAATAAATCTTTTGGTCAAACTATATATAAAACTATCAGTAGAGCCCGTCGTTGCCGGGGATGTAACATTAAGAGATAGATCAAGTATCGACCATCGTAAAGACTGAAAAATAAAATTGACAAAGATTATTGTTTAATGTTGACGGACACGCATGTTTTAATTATTATTTTTTTTTCGAATTGGTCAAACCCAAACTCAAACAAAAACATTGTTTTCAATCGTTATGAGTCTACCGATTGAATAGAATTTTATTATAAACAATTGTCTTGTAAATAGAATTTTTAAAGCATTCTGAATGTAAAAATAAAGAAAAAAGTGTGCAAGTTTTGTTGAAATCGGTTGAAATATGTAGGAAATCCGATCCCATATATAAACGAACACATACACACACTCTCAAACAACCTGGGTTTTATAACTCAATATGAGCTGTCTCCCTTTCATTCTCGACAGCGATGCCTCTTAATCGTATTTTCAAATTGATTTCGTGCAAAAACAATTGTGTTTTTCCAATTTTTGGCGCTGTCAGAACCACCACAAGGTAATTTTACGTAGTCCTGTGAAGTTTTGTTGAAATCGGTTGAAAAATGTAGGAAATCCGATCCAATATATAAACGAACAGGCACACACACACACACACACACACACACACACAACCTGGGTTTTATAATAAGTATGATTATGTGGCTGCCGTAAGTCCGTCCTTCCGTCAATCATTTTAGATATTAAGAATATTTTAGGTAGCAAGAATATTTTTGCGAGAGAATATTGCATTAAAAAATAGTATCTGCTACACCAAAACTACATACATTTTGGCATTCAGACTTATCCTTTTTTAGACTGTTTGCTAACTACTGCTAGAAGGGGCCAGTCTACTCTACTATTTAGAACATTGTTGTGGGTGGGGGAGTAAAAAAGAAGGATTCAACATTTTTTCAAGTGTTTTTGCATGGAAAACGACTGTATCGGACTTTTATGTAATTTGACTTGACGCTTCAATTACTTATTCGATTAAAAACATCAACATCACAACACAGTCTATAAAGACAAATTAAGAACAACATGATATATATATATATATATATATATATAATGAAATGGACAAAGTCCGACAATTATTTTAAGACATTTTTATGTTTATACATTATTTTTATAGATACAAATATTTAAGTAAATGCTCTAATAAACAGTATTAAGCAACATTTAATGGTCTGAATGTCCGAGAAATTTTCATAGAAAATATTCGTCTTCCGAACGCTCCTCTGTGGCCCAATCGATTAAAGCCGCGTCAGGCTATATGACGATTCCGTATAGGATACAGGTTCGATTCCTGCCGGAGGACGTATATTTTGTATGAAAGTTTCTCGGACATTCAGGCCGGTAAATGTTACTTTAATACTGTTTATTATAAACAGAACATTTACTTAAATATTTGTATCTATATAAAAAAGAATGTATAAACATAAAACTGTCTTAATATGTATGTACTTTTATTGAAAGCCCTGTAGTACTCATATCGTATACATGCTGTGAAAATGCCACGTAGTAATAACGGACGGTCATGTAAGGAAATAGTCCCCCATCTTGAGCTCGTGGCTATTTCGACACGAGGTTCTAAATTTATAACAAATATTCGCTCGTTTTAGCAGAAGTTGCCTTTGTGAAATCGTTCTTTAAAGGTCTTCATAAATCTTTCGCATCTTCATTGTTACTGGTGTATGTGGGTGTTAAAATGGAGAACAGTGACACTCTAGCGGACGTCGCGGAAACTAATTCTTATTGCATTCATCTTGTTTGAGCCCGCACAGTGCGACTTGACGGATTCGACAGTATTTTTACATCATTTGCCAATGCATCAGTTCATTGTCAGAAGAAGCCTATTTTACTTTCTTTTCTTTTCGCTTCCGCAGAACTGAAATCACTTCTATTGGCTTTTTAAAACTATATTTTATTCGATGTTTGATTAAAATCTCTCTTCTACTTACCTCATCCCCTTTCTTTTGTTTTCTCTCTCTCTCTCTCTCCCCCCCCCGATTTGGACAAACTCTTCATTTGTTTCATCCTTTATTTTCTCATTTCTTTCCGTTTCCTTTCTTTTTCATTTTTCGAATTCAAATTTTCCTTTTCTTCTATTAAGAGATTCTCCCACATTATTTTATTTCCGTGTCAGATTTTCACTTCTTCCTCGCTTTTCATTTTTTTCTTTCTTTCTTTCTTTCTTTCTTTCTTTCTTTCTTTCTTTCTTTTGTGATTTGCTTATTTTGACTTCTACCTCACTTTTCATCAGTTTGTCTATTTGTTATTCTTTCTTTCTTTCTTTCTTTCTTTCTTTCTTTCTTTCTTTCTTTCGTCATTTTCTATTTTTGTATTTCTTTTTTTTTAGTTATTTCACTTCTTCCTCGCTTTTATTTCTTTCTCTCTATCTGTTATTCTTCTTGTCTTTATATCGTCATTTTTCTTTCTTTTTTCTTTCTTTTTATTTTTTAACTTCTTCCTCGCTTTTCTATCTTTCTTTCTGTCATTCTTTCGTTCTATCGATATTTTTTAATATTTTTTTCTAGTTTCTTTCATTTCTTCCTAGCTTTTCTTTCTCTATATCTACCGTATTTCTTTTGAATTGGCTTACTTTTTGTCTTTCTTTCCCACATGTTAGTAACTTTTATTTCCTTCTACCTTTCTTCATAATTCTAATGATTTTTCATTTGTTTTCATTTCTCTTTGTCTTTTTCTTTTTGTCTCGCTTTTTCATTCCGCCATGTTCTTTCTCACATTCTTTCACTAACGTTCAATTTCTTCCGTCTTTTCTTTCTTTCACCCTTTATTTCTTTTCCTTAATTTTCTTTCATTTTCTATTTCTTTACTTCTTGCCTTCCTTCTCATTTAATTCTTATGTCTCCTTATTCTACTCTTGTGTTTTCTATACGTTTTACATTTACCTATTCTTTCCTTCTTTCTTTCTTTGTAACCTGCCAAACAGTTGAATGAAAATCATTGTAGACAGTATAGTAAAACTAAACTTCATCCTATATTCCTCTTGTCTGATACAGCTTGATAAATGTTTTCTTAAAACAAAGAGAGGAATGGTAAACAGACAGTTCTTGAAGTA